TGATGGCTCCTCATATCATAAGATTTCCCAACAACTTAGCAGAAACACCTTTTAAATTTGAGCATAATATCTAATGGAGATGCTGGGGATTGAACCCAGGACCTCATACATGCGAAGCATGCGCTCTACCACTGAGCTACATCCCCTGCAAAATTGGCAAAAATTGCTTTATTTTCCGTATATAAAGGAAGAAGTGTGAGAAAAAAAGAATGAATGCCGATGTTTCCAAGCGAAAACCTACTATGACTGGCAGAAAGCCAACTTGGGAAGACTGAATGCATCACTTTAAATAAAAATCCTTGGGAATTTGGACTTTCAAAGTTGGACTTTGACGTGTGGAGATCAAAAAAATACTCAAAAATTACTCTTTGCTCGGAACGGAGCGCTCTAAAGTGAATTTCGTTGCTGGCAGCACTCGAACCTGCGCGGGGAGACCCCAATGGATTTCAAGTCCATCGCCTTAACCTCTCGGCCACAACAACCCACAATGTTGAAAATAAAATCAACTTTTCGGAAATATCAGATACTGGATAAGTGGCTGATATGTAGACTGCCATGTGAACAATTCTGGAACACACATAATTAGGTAACGGTGTGGTATTTACTTGGTAAATTATAGTTGGTGCTTTTTTTCCCTTGTTGGACGGTACATTTGATGGCTCCTCATATCATGAGATTTCCCAACAACTTAGCAGAAACACCTTTTAAATTTGAGCATAATATCTAATGGAGATGCTGGGGATTGAACCCAGGACCTCATACATGCGAAGCATGCGCTCTACCACTGAGCTACATCCCCTGCAAAATTGGCAAAAATTACTTTGTTTTCCGTATATAAAGGAAGAAGTGTGAGAAAAAAAGAATGAATGCCGATGTTTCCAAGCGAAAACCTACTATGACTGGCAGAAAGCCAACTTGGGAAGACTGAATGCATCACTTTAAATAAAAATCCTTGGGAATTTGGACTTTCAAAGTTGGACTTTGACGTGTGGAGATCAAAAAAATACTCAAAAATTACTCTTTGCTCGGAACGGAGCGCTCTAAGGTGAATTTCGTTGCTGGCAGGACTCGAACCTGCGCGGGGAGACCCCAATGGATTTCAAGTCCATCGCCTTAACCTCTCGGCCACAACAACCCACAATGTTGAAAATAAAATCGACTTTTCGCAAATATCAGATACTGGCTAAGTGGCTGATGTGTAGACTGCCATGTGAACAATTCTGGAACACACATAATTAGGTAAGGGTGTGGTATTTACTTGGTAAATTATAGTTGGTGCTTTTTTTCCCTTGTTGGACGGTACATTTGATGGCTCCTCATATCATGAGATTTCCCAACAACTTAGCAGAAACACCTTTTAAATTTGAGCATAATATCTAATGGAGATGCTGGGGATTGAACCCAGGACCTCATACATGCGAAGCATGCGCTCTACCACTGAGCTACATCCCCTGCAAAATTGGCAAAAATTGCTTTATTTTCCGTATATAAAGGAAAAAGTGTGAGAAAAGAAGAATGAATGGGGACGTTTCCAAGGGAAAACCTACTATGACTGGCAGAAAGCCAACTTGGGAAGACTGAATGCATCACTTTAAATAAAAATCTTTGGGAATTTGGACTTTCAAAGTTGGACTTTGACGTGTGGAGATCACAAAATGACTCAAAAAATGACTCTTTGCTTGGACCAGAGCGCTCTAAAGCTATTTTCGTTGCTGGCAGGACTCGAACCTGCGCGGGGAAACCCCAATGGATTTCAAGTCCATCGCCTTAACCTCTCGGCCACAACAACCCACAATGTTGAAAATAAAATCAACTTTTCTGAAATATCAGATACTGGATAAGTGGCTGATATGTAGACTGCCATGTGAACAATTCTGGAACACACATAATTAGGTAAGGGTGTGGTATTTACTTGGTAAATTATAGTTGGTGCTTTTTTTCCCTTGTTGGACGGTACATTTGATGGCTCCTCATATCATGAGATTTCCCAACAACTTAGCAGAAACACCTTTTAAATTTGAGCATAATATCTAATGGAGATGCTGGCGATTGAACCCAGGACCTCATACATGCGAAGCATGCGCTCTACCACTGAGCTACATCCCCTGCAAAATTTGCCAAAAATTGCTTTATTTTCCGTATATAATGTAAGAAGTGTGAGAAAAAGAAGAGTGAATGCGGACGTTTTCCAAGCGAAAACCTACTATGACTGGGCAGAAAGCCAACTTGGGAGGACTGAATGCATCACTTAAAATAAAAATCCTGTGGGAATTTGGGACTTTCAAAGTTGGACTTTGACGTGTGGAGATCACAAAAATGACTCAAAAATGACTCTTTGCTCGGACCAGAGCGCTCTAAAGCTATTTTCGTTGCTGGCAGGACTCGAACCTGCGCGGGGAGACCCCAATGGATTTCAAGTCCATCGCCTTAACCTCTCGGCCACAACAACCCACAATGTTGAAAATAAAATCAACTTTTCGGAAATATCAGATACTGGATAAGTGGCTGATATGTAGACTGTCATGTGAACAATTCTGGAACACACATAATTAGGTAAGGGTGTGGTATTTACTTGGTAAATTATAGTTGGTGCTTTTTTTCCCTTGTTGGACGGTACATTTGATGGCTCCTCATATCATAAGATTTCCCAACAACTTAGCAGAAACACCTTTTAAATTTGAGCATAATATCTAATGGAGATGCTGGGGGATTGAACCCAGGACCTCATACATGCGAAGCATGCGCTCTACCACTGAGCTACATCCCCTGCAAAATTGGCAAAAATTACTTTGTTTTTCTGTATATTAGGAAGAAGTGTGAGAAAAAAAGAATGAATGCCGATGTTTTCTAAGCGAAAACCTACTATGACTGGCAGAAAGCCAACTTGGGAAGACTGAATGCATCACTTTAAATAAAAATCCTCGGGAATTTGGACTTTCAAAGTTGGACTTTGACGTGTGGAGATCCAAAAAATACTCAAAAATTACTCTTTGCTCGGAACGGAGCGCTCTAAAGTGAATTTTGTTGCTGGCAGGACTCGAACCTGCACGGGGAGACCCCAATGGATTTCAAGTCCATCGCCTTAACCTCTCGGCCACAACAACCCACAATGTTGAAAATAAAATCAACTTTTCGGAAATATCAGATACTGGATAAGTGGCTGATGTGTAGACTGCCATGTGAACAATTCTGGAACACACATAATTAGGTAAGGGTGTGGTATTTACTTGGTAAATTATAGTTGGTGCTTTTTTTCCCTTGTTGGACGGTACATTTGATGGCTCCTCATATCATGAGATTTCCCAACAACTTAGCAGAAACACCTTTTAAATTTGAGCATAATATCTAATGGAGATTCTGGGGATTGAACCCAGGACCTCATACATGCGAAGCATGCGCTCTACCACTGAGCTACATCCCCTGCAAAATTGGCAAAAATAGCTTTGTTTTCCGTATATAAAGGAAAAAGTGTGAGAAAAGAAGAATGAATGGGGACGTTTCCAAGCGAAAACCTACTATGACTGGCAGAAAGCCAACTTGGGAAGACTGAATGCATCACTTTAAATAAAATCCTTGGGAATTTGGACTTTCAAAGTTGGACTTTGACGTGTGGAGATCAAAAAAATACTCAAAAATTACTCTTTGCTCGGAACGGAGCGCTCTAAAGTGAATTTTGTTGCTGGCAGGACTCGAACCTGCGCGGGGAGACCCCAATGGATTTCAGAGTCCATCGCCTTAACCTCTCGGCCACAACAACCCACAATGTTGAAAATAAAATCGACTTTTCGGAAATATCAGATACTGGCTAAGTGGCTGATATATAGACTGCCATGTGAACAATTCTGGAACACACCATAATTAGGTAAGGGATGTGAGTATTTACTTGGTAAATTATAGTTTGTGCTTTTTTTCCCTTGTTGGACGGTACATTTGATGGCTCCTCATATCATGAGATCTCCCAACAACTTAGCAGAAAACACCTTTTAAATTGGAGCATAACATCTAATGGAGATGCTGGGGATTGAACCCAGGACCTCATACATGCGAAGCATGCGCTCTACCACTGAGCTACATCCCCTGCAAAATGGGCAAAAATTGCTTTATTTTCCGTATATAAAGGAAAAAGTGTGAGAAAAGAAGAGTGAATGGGGACGTTTCCAAGGGAAAACCTACTATGACTGGCAGAAAGCCAACTTGGGAAGACTGAATGCGTCACTTTAAATGAAAATCCTTGGGAATTTGGACTTTCAAAGTGGGACTTTAACGTGTGGAGATCACAAAATGACTCAAAAAACTCAACCCCACCACCGTCCAAGAATGGCATTCTCATTCCGAGCAGCACTGTCGGCTGGATTTCTACTTTCCTTGCCCTCGTCAGACCCTTGTGATCCTAAAAGCGAATGCCCCCATCAGCCGGGATCTTCAGAGTAAAACTCCCCAAAACACACCAGGGCAGACATGCTTATTTAGTTGTTCAGAGATCCAAAGACCTTCAAGATGAGGCGAGGAGGTGTGTGTGTTGTTAAAAGAGAAAAGACTTGTCTTCGATGATGTGTGTAAGGTCAACCATTAGAGCAGAGGCAACAAGACAAGCGCCCTCCCTCCCCAGAGAGGGGAGACAAGAGAGGCGCGGGAGCTCATCACGCTGCGTATGTGTGTGTGTGTTTATGTGATTATGGAAACACTCCAATAAATCTCTTCTTTCTCATAACGGCGAGAGAATTATTTTTTGTTTTTAAAATCAAATTACAATGTTTACTTGTTCTTGGCGCCTGCTCACTTTCGGGTATAATTCTCTGTCAAAACATAATGGCACCCACCCCACCCTGTCACCCCCACCCGACGGCACATCCACTCGAGTGGCACTCCTTTTGAATCATAAGTTCTTGTCACTAAGATGAGATGTGGTGTGGAGGAAGGCGGGGGGGGGGAATAGAAGTGTGTGGAACGCTGCATATATAAATCAGTGTTCTCACTCCTGTCCTTCTCCTCTCTTCCAGTGAACGAGTGGTTGCTAAAGTAGCCTCCCTTGGATGAACATGGAGACGGGACGAGGACGAGGGAGGGACACGTGAAACGGGGCTGAAGGCTGCATCTCATCCCAGATTACTTCACGGCATTGTATAAAGACTAACACTGAACATTGTACCACTTAAGGAAGTTTGTATTGCGAGAGACTCTTCTTTTCATACATTGAGGACAGTTTGAATCCCTTCAATCTAGCTCACGCAAACAACTCCCCCCCCCCCCCCCCCCGGCCCCTTTCCCCACTGGACAAAAAAATTTATACAGAAATTTTGATACCCAAAACCTCTGGGGGGGAAAACCCAAAAAGGGAACTAAATAAAAAAAAAAACAACAAGAACAAAAAAATAGGGAAGCATTTATTTCGATAGCCTCCCAATCAATAGGACAACGGTGGGACGTCAACGCCTTTGTACATAAAAATGTTGCTAACGGTGGGAAAAATGGGAGGACTTAGATCACTCCCCCCATCCTCCTGGTGTAGACGAAGTGGGCGACGTGTGGTCCCACGCGGACGTTTCATTACACACACGGCATGCGATCAGCAAGGTGGCGGAGAGGGAACACGGCCTTACTTCAGCTTGTCATTTTTCCAGTCATATCACGGGAGACGAGCAAATACCTGCAGGCTTTCTCGAGGCCTCGGAACAACCAGAGGTCTGGCCTCGTTTGTACATATTATAATTATCAATACTGCAGAAAAATGAATATGTAAAGAAAAGTAACAAATTAACATTCAAAATAAATATATTAAGAGGATTTAAAAAAATAAAATGACAAAAAAACATGAACAAGTTGAGAACTTTAAAAAGCTTGGCAAACTTTGAATTCCAGAGTGGTTCTCAGTCTAAGCTGATGCCTTTTTTCTGTTTTATTGTTTACAATGGTCATACACTGTGTTTGAGTAATGTTATCAGCCCAATAAATGTGTCTGGAAAGTTCACTTTGGCAAAACGCTTCGATATATGAGGATTGTACCTGTACCTGTTTTTTGTACTGTTCCATATTAAATGTGTCGATCTGTCAGTGTTCCCCGGCAGAAGCATGCTCAATGACCTCAATGACACGGGTGTGAGGGTAGCGTCTTCTTAAAGAGCATTGCAACATTCTGTCAGAGCCTTTCCAATCAGCACATGGCCGAGGATGGGAAGGATACACTGCTGGCTCCCCAAGATGCAGAAAAGTGAAGGCAGAAACTGGTCAAGAAGATGGTTACTCTGGTTCGGGCGCGAAGGGAAAACAGGCCTCATGTCAATAGATCGCGTAGTGTATGGATAGATAGACTTAAGAGTGGCGACTGGCGAGCACAGAGACAGCTCCTCAACTCATCCTCCACTTTGCCCAAAATCGCAAATTTGCCTCAGAAGGCTTTACAATGTGTTCACATACGACATCCTCTGTCCCGAAACCCTCACATCGGCACAAGGAAAAACTCCCCAAAACATGAAAACCCTTCCATGGGGAAAAAAGGGAAGAAACCTTAAGGAGAACGTCAGAGGAGGAACCCTCCCCTGGGATGGACAGACTACAATGGATGTCATGTGTACAGAATGAACAATGTAGAAGATGTATAATACATTCAATTCCTATAACAGAAATTATTCAAATAATTGCGAGTAGTAAGCAAGTGTACGGCAGGACCACTGCAGGGACAACCACCATCAGATAGAACCACCATCCTATAGAACCACCATCAGATAGAACCACCATCCTATAGAACCACCATCAGATAGAACCACCATCCTATAGAACCACCATCAGATAGAACCACCATCCTATAGAACCACCATCAGATAGAACCACCATCACATAGAACCACCATCAGATAGAACCCCCCTCACATGAAACCACCATCACATAGAACCACCATCAGATAGAACCATCATCACATTGCACCACCATCACATAGAACCACCATCAGACAGAACCTCCATCACATAGAAACACCATCACATAGCACCACGATCATGTAGAACCACCATCAGACAGAACCACCATCACATAGAACCATCATTTACAGAAGCCTGTGAGGAGGGAAAGCACAAATACTTTAGCAAAGGGTAATATGTTTATGACAGTAATAGTAATGTGATTAATATTTAAAATAGTAAGAATGATGATGATGATGATAGCAGCAGCAGGTGTTAGCAGGAACAGGGTCCAGATAGAACCATGATCCATGGAAACCTGTGAGGCAAGAAAGCACAAATAAAAAACAAAGTTAGTGATGCGCAGTTTATAGTAACTCTCACTCGCTCCATCTACAATAATCCACGTTTTATTAATGCACATCACTGATTCAGAGTGTTTTCTCCTTGGCAGGTCTCCGTAGATCGTAGTTCTGTAGCCCCTTGGACACGCTTCTAAGACCATTGATATTCCCATTTCTGTAGGGTGAACAACAACTGGTCTGACCTAGGGGTGGGGTGGGGGGGTTAACATACATTTTCGGCACGTTCGTACAATGCTAAGCAAAAGAACACAGCAAAACAAACGTGTGTAGTTTTGAAAAAGAAGTCGGCCAATATGTATGTTTTTGGTTGAGACTACGGGCAACTGCTTTTATCCAGACCATGCGAAAGGTTTTTTGAGTAAGTTCAGTATTATCTGAAGACGTCATGGTACCTCATGTCATGTCACCCTGGAGACGGACTTCTCAAGTACAGTTAACCAATGAAACTAATTGAACTTTGGAGGTGAAGTCCCTGTGTTACACTGCGGGTGTCCGAGAGCACAAAGACTCAACCACTCAACATGCTCGAATGTCCGTCCTTCTCTGTTAACCAGAAAGTTGACCCCAAAATTATTGCGCGCTCTCATGGTTTTAGACGAAGCAAGCACTAAGACTATTACTAGCTCAAAAATGTAATAGTTCAACTGATAAATGACATCTGGACACAGTCATTTTATTGCACGTGTCCTTACTTTAGCTTTTATGTCACATAGCTGGCAGCCTATACATTTGCCAAAAGAGCTTCTTTAGAATGCCAAAAGGAATCACAACATTTTCTTTAAAACCTTAGGTTGTACAGTAAATGCCTTTTTAGAGACATATACAGGAGAAATAACTCACCATTCACCATAGCGGGGACAAAGAAATGATAGAAGCAGCCAATAATTGCATTTTAAAAATTAAAGAACACAGAAACCAATGTCCAAAACTCATCAATTATCTCTCAATATCTGCTGCCTTTAAGCATGTCTGATGGCATGTGCACATGTGCGTTTTCTATTTGTTATCTGAGCTGCACCACCACATTTTTTTTGACAGATTTATAATGAAAAGATCGCTGAGGGGGAGGCTGAGGAGAGAGCTTTCAGAGAACACGAACGCCCAAGGTTATGGAGGCCATTATTCTACGTGATCTAGGACATGCAGGATGGATAATAAATTCTGGAAATGCCCTCGTGGCCAAACCACTTCCTCAAATTTAGCCTCTCTCCACCACATATTCCAATCGGCCAGCAAATAATTTGTCTCACCCTCTTGATCCCACAGTGCATCTCTCCGGACTCGGCTGGTATCTGACCCTGCCAAAAGGGGTGAAAGACACAATACAGGTGTGAATTACGGCACCCAGACGGTCAGGAGGAGACTTAATGATATTACATTAATAGGAGCGTAATAAGGCGATGGCACGCTGGGAACTAGAGTGGAGCGGAACAGCTGCCGGGCCAAATCGAGAATGTGCAAATCTCTGCAGGCGTGTTGACCCTTGAGACACACCTGTCCAGATGTGTAGCGGCAGCGGAGTCAAACTTTTCTCCATGATTTGATTAGGGTCAAACTCGTGTCAATGCTTCTGCAAGCGAGGGGGCTCCATTACACAGAGTTATTTATTCATTTTTAAACCCTCATCTATCCAGAGGGGTTTAGCATTTAGGTTCTGTTTCTCACCAACAGCTGTCTTCACACCAAATCCAGGACAACCGTAGGTTGATAAGTGGCTGTCAACTACTCTGACATATCTTTTGTGACTATACCCAAAATCGCTAGTCAAGAGAAGAGCAGAATCAATTTCATCGAGAAAATCCTTTTGCGCCGACATCTCCTCATCTCTCGTTGAGATTCACAGAAGAATATGATATGACGAATTTATTGCTATGTTTAGAATTTGTATAATTCCCAGTTGTTTCAGTGCTAATACATAAGCAAGAGTCCAACTTAAGTATGGTATAGTTAGAAGTTTTCCTTAGTATCAAATTAAACACACATAAATGTATTGTCACAAACAGACGTTCCCCGTCTCCGGAATACTAAGGTCCGAAGCTCGGGATCTCAGTCACCCCTCTGTGGCACGTGACAATGGTTTGTGCCACTCAGGATCAGCCCACTGAGCGAGCACGGCCACTCCCACCAACGCACCTGTGGCTCGTCTCTCATCAGGAGAGGTTGGGCATTTAAGCTGCCGAAACCTCAGAAGCCGGTGCGAAGTCTTGTGCATGTTGCCATCACATTCTGAGCGTTCTCTTGATTTCCTGTTTCTGCCTACCTGTTATTGACCTCTCCTTTGTCCCAGACCTCGTTCACGCCTGCCTGACCCTCGACGGTACCTCTGCCTACCTCCGCGCTCCCGGCTTTCGACCCCTGCCTGTTCACCGGACCCTACCACGCCTGATCCTTGTCTGTACCCTGCTAATAAAACTGCGCTCTGCGCTTGAGTTCACTCTAGTCTCTTGTGGTGCGTTACATGTATATTCATCAGGTTTGTTGAGATGACTTCCCCGGGAACTAAACTGTTTTTTAGAGACAATTAAAGAGACAAAGGTGATTGTGTGAATTTTTACCTTGTCTAAAAAGTTGCACACTGACTGAGGGGAGCGAATAAGCTGTATAATCTTCTTATTCCATAATCAGTAGCCTCCAAACCGCTGAAAGCTAACTCACCCTGGACTAACATCATGCTGTCTCAAAGGATGCTAATTAATGTTTTACCATTCATCTATTCTCATCTCCTTTGCAGCCCTGTGCCATTCAGACTTCTCTTTATCCTCCGAGTCATTATTATTACGTACACGATTCCTCTATTTGTGCGTGATGAAACACATGTGCAATCCACTGGGGTCCAAATTTTAGGACCACCAACACAAGGGAGGATCTTTATCAAACTAAAAAAAAAACAGTAAATTAAAATAGGATACAGTAGCACATAAATTGGTCGAATGTCCAATTTTCACGCCGATTCCAGTTGTACATTTAGTTGATGGACAGAACACACTGACTACAGCTGTACAGGGAAGTACCATGAATGAAGCCTCATAAATTAATGAGGTTACCCTAGCTTAGCATTGAATCCGAATCAGCAAAAAACTGTTAGCATGTCTCTTTTCTTAAAAAGGGTCATATCATGCTTGGATTTAAGTTCACACGTATATGTTTATGTATATATACATATATATATAATGTATAAACAGAGTCCCTCTTCCAAAAAAGAAAAAATAATAGAAAAATAAAGGTAGTTCTCCAGCCGTGGGCCGAGGTGCTTACATCTCAGTTTGTGGGTTGGTGGGCACTCTGGCTACTTCCTAACATGTTTCTTCATACTGATGGAGTTACTTTCACCAAGTAAGAGACAAGCTAGCTGTTGGCAATATCTCAGAATAAAAACAGGAAGCTGGTATGAATGTTTTTTGTTTAAAGAACTACTTTCTACTACATTTACAGCTAAACATAGCTCGTTAATGCAGCTGATCATTCCAAATAAAATACTTGTAAAGAAGCGTTTTGCCTTCCAAATTACCATATAAGTGACTGCTTGAACTTGAGATTTTAGTTTAACAAGGCTCCCTAGATCAGTGTTACCAGCTGTTGCACCGTGTGTGATAACACTGTACCTGTTTCAAAATTATCTGATAGCATGTATTTATTTATTATATTTATATATATATATATATATATATATATATATATAGAAAGTTTTTAGAGTCTGTTTACTCTGTAAACAACTTACTTTTCCTGTAATAGGGGTCAAAACTCTTCCGTGTTGAAACACATAACTTAAACTGTGAATCCAAGACTTATAACT